CCAGCCTGCCTGCCCTTGCCTCGCTCTCACTCACACAGCGGCCTAGCAGCAAGATACAAGGCCTACTCCTAGCTCTCTCTCGTGGGATGGCCCTCCCGGGCCATGGGCACAACACACAAGCCGGTGTACCCACCACGACTTAACAATAAAGTAAGAAGCCTCCGAAGACATATCATTTACTCCCCGCTACCAGAACACCAAATAATCCGTTATAGTAAATAGCGTGCTAAAAACATCTAGCCTAGAGAGGACTCGCAGCAATGGCTTTAAGTTGGTAAAATTCAGATTCAGGAAGGATATAGGAAAACACTGGTTTGGTAATAGAGTTGTGGATGAGTGGGACAAACTCCCGAGTAGTTATAGAGGCTAAAATGTTGTTATTTTAAAAATAGGTTAGATAAATACGTGAGTCGGTGTGGGTGGGTGTGAGTTGGATGTGACTAGCTTGTGCTACTAGGTCAGATGCCGTGCTCCTTCCTAAAGTGAACGTGACCTTACATGACCAGGTTAGGTCTTTGGCTTAAGCCGGTAGGAGACGTGGACCTACCTCGCATGGGCCAGTAGGCCTCCTGCAGTGTTCTTTCTGTTCTTATGTTCGAAGGAAAATATTACTCTCAAACGCAGGAACTGGCTATGGTAAACCCATTGTCTCAGCTATTAAGCAATTTGTATATGGAGGTTCTTGAGACTAAACTGTTGAGAGATACTCTGCCTGGTGAAGCTAAGTGGTTCACATATATGGATGACATTATTTTAAGTCTTTGGCCGAATGGTAAGGGTAAAGAAGACTAAATTTAGTACAAATTATAAAAAGTATTATAATGATATAAACAAAACAATCATGACTGAAGGCAAACAAAACAATAGTTTGAAAGGTTTAAAATAGATCAGGAACATGTGGGTGTATAACTAGCTTTATACTTGTTACATGAAGGCACAAAAGTTATTATTTTTCAGTATGAATTACGCTAAATGCGATTAAAAAATTTATCTAAATTATAATGAAAATTCACTTGACATATTTTCTGAAGAAGTATAGAAAATGTGATCATACACACATACTGGGCCACATCTCTGGCAAAAATAATTTGGAAAATTTGAAAAAAAAAATCTTACAACTATGTTGAACAGAAAAATCTTATTAAAAAAAATCTTAAAGAAGGTGGCACATGTGTATATTGTGAAGGAAATCTGTACATGCACCAGAACTATGTAACATCAACATGGATTTGAAATAAAAAAAATAAGTCGAATAGATACCATTATGACTGTTGCATTAATTGACTCCCATTCTGATATTAATATTAATGACACTCTCAGAACTGGTCACAATTAATGATAAGATATGAATGTTTCATTCAATTCAAAGATACATATTTAAATTAAACTAAAAGTTCAGATTATTGCAGTCTGTTATATTGGAAAAAAAAACTACTGAAACATAATGGGTTATCAGTAAACTTGAAGGACTGAAACAAATGCATTAGTACAACAATTATTTTAAAATATAAATGATAACAGTGACTCTTAAAACTAATATGACACGAACATGCAAAATATAGAGTAAGAGTTTCCAAGAATGTGGATATAAAAAAAGAAATACAAAAAAGTAGAGTAAGTGATGACAGAGAATTGAAGAAAAATAGACAATGCAAACTCATCTCCACATTTAGTAGATAACTTCAACTCTCTTCCAGCATTATAACATTTACACTTTATACAACATGTCTCCACTAACAGGACATTAATTTACAACAGTATATGCAACATTTACTGATCTTGCAAACTATATGGAATTAGATAAAAAAACAAAAACAAAAAAAGTGCAGTAGGTTGAAGATGCTGAAAACAGTAAATAACTTTTAGATTAGATTGCATAATACTTTTAAGATAATTTATACACTTAAACATAGGTGACTATTCTTGTACTTGTTATTTAAAACAATAAAATACTTTGAGTGTAGCTTATTTATTAAAAGAGTGAGGGACATTCAGTGAAGTTTATAAATGAAAATAGAGAAGGACAATTATAAGTTATATATATAAAACATTGAAGGACTTTTAGCGTAGTTATATATTAAAATAATGAAAGCCTGTCATTGCAATTTATATAATAAAACAGAGAAGGACTTTCATTGTATTGTTTATATTAAAACTGTGAAGGATTATCAGTGCAGTTTATATGTTAATATTATTAGCAGGTTTACATGTTAATATATTGAGGGATTTGTAAAGTATTTTATATGCTAGACGTAGTAATTATTTTTTTTTTAAATTGCAGTAAGACTTTGTTAAATGTCTGCACAGCTGCAATAGGTATTCAGTATATAACATTTATGTAGAAGCAGATAAAGTGAACATGCATATAGTGGTTCTAAGCTTGACATTAATTTAAATATCATGCAAAGGACAATATTACTTATCATCCAAAATTTAATAAACTTTATTATGAAATAAATTTTAAAGTGCATGGAGCAAGTGTCATCGTGCACAAAATTTGTGATGGTATGTGCAAACGTCTTTCAAGTTTCTGTTAACGTGAATTTATTTTATATCAAGACACAAGCTGCTAACATACTGATGTTAAAAATTATAGTCACAGTTTAGTTCTGAAGTTTTACATTTATGGCAGAAATGACAACTAAACCAATTTTAATACAGCAGGAATTTCAACGTAAATACTAGAATGAACTGAAATATTATAATAATGACAAACTCACTGTGACATTTGAACAATGAATGTTGCAAAATATTATGTGAGATCTAATAAATACTAAGTATTTTATGTTACTGATATATTTATTGTAAAACTTTCATTTGAAATGTATATTTAATAACATAAAATTAGTGATTAATCTTTAGCGGCAATTGAAAAAAAATAATGAAAACAATTAGATATTAACAGTATAAATTAAATGTACACATTTAAAAGAGATGCGTGTGCAGAGATTAAAATATTTAATAGGGAAACATTTCACAATGGGCTATTTCTTCAGTCCTAATTCAGAGTTGGAAGAACAAGTAATTTTGAGAGTACACAGTCAGTGAACAAAGGAAAATATTGTGTAATAGTATATCAAAAATGAGGTCAAAGGAAGTAGCTTCAAAAATAAGTGGGTCCAATATATGAGTTATAACTTAGGGTCTGCCTGGTTTAGGCAAGTCACTCTACTACAGTGATCCACTGTATAAGATACACTCATGTTATGGCAGTATCGCAGTTGGGTAGCAATCCTTTAATTAGAGTTTTAGATGCAGTAAAGCAGCCGGACATCTGTAGTTTAGTAAGTTTAGTGTTAGAGATTCCAAACATGTCCGTTTGTGTAAATCGTTTTCATGAGTTACTAGCTTAGCAAAATTCCACTGCATGATGCCTCCCTAGGGGCATGGGGCTGCTCTGGGATAGCCACCCCAGCTGCAAGCAAACTTATGTCTCCAAACTCTGAATTACAGTGACCTTAATGTTTCTCTTATATGCTTTTTTCTTACAATCCCTACAAGAAATAATGAAAACACCAGCTTTAGTTGTAAAATTGTTTGTATGCTTGGTTTTATGTCTTACTAAGCTTTTAATAGGCATTGGTAAGAAATATAAATAGGCAAGCAGAAAATTACACTATCATGGCTGATGTTTATATCATTTCTTGTGAAGAATGTATTCACTAGAACTCAGAATTCATGAACATATGTACACATGCAGCTGGAAGGATCAAAACAATGATTGTTTTCAACATAAATACAGCACTGCAACATCAAAAAGTAAAAGGAAGTCAGGCTCATAATCCATAATAACCATTTACGCAGACAAAAGAAATTACAGGCAGCTGCTATTGCACTCACCACCACCGTACCACAGACGTCCGGCAGTATTACAATATCTAAAATTCTAGCGAAGCGATTGGTACCACTCATATAATTCTCTCTTACAGAGAAAAACACTGCAAAAAGACCTACTATACCTAGCCTACTCAGGGCAGACCATGATCCAACACATATATTGGTCCTGCCTAATTTTACAGCTGGTACCTCCAGTCTCATTTTTTTATAGTATCTCACTTTTTCCATTGTTCACCTGATTATGTTATAAGTACTACTTGTCTCGGCTAAATGTAATTGGAATGACGAAGTCTCTTGTGGTCAAACGTTAACATATCAAAGTTTTTAATCTGCGCTACTTATCTCTTACCTCAGCTTATTGGTGTTATCATACTAATTCAGTTACCTTGTAGCAAAATGAATAAAAATACTTTAATGGTGTGTTGCTTCAATAACAATTACACAGTAGGTATTAGGATATTTTCTTGGTACAAGAAATTTAGGAAAAATAATATGATCTAGTTTTTTTGTATAGAGAAAAACAAGTATGAATGACCACATCCAAAGAACACTACTGTATTGGAAGACCAAATGTAGACACCACAAGGAACAGTAGGAATAATAATTTTAATGAGTCTTTTTAGGTACTAAGTTGCTAAATCTACTATCTATGGCTACACTGGTGTTATACGTGATGTTCTTTTTTTTTTTTTTTTTGAAAGAATTTGTTTTTGCTATGAGGGAGGTGAGTCAATTTTGTAAAATGGAATGAGGAATTTCTTTTTCATATTATAAGTGCTTATAAAGACCCTTAATCAGATTAATGTCTATACTATTACGTGCTGAATGTTACTTTTTCAATGTAACTTTCGTGTGGACAGTTACTAGTACCATCTCAAATGTTGTCTGAGAAACAGTCCAGATGATGCCTAGTAACTGAACGAGTTCACCTCAAAATTCATTTTAACTCGGTCATAATCAATTTTAACAAATCTATTAATTGCATAAAAGTGCACAAATATATTATATTTCCACATTCCATTTTCAGGCAGAGGAATGCTTAAGGAACCCAATGGGATCTGCTTCAGAGTTTCTACCGATGAACTCTGAGGGAAAATGCAAATAATTATAAGTAAAAAATTAAAGAACTATAAAAATCGTCCTTAGGTAATTCTTAAGCTCACCCCAGTTACATCGCTGAACATCTGTAAAAGAATGTGAGTGTTACACACGACCATACATATGCAGAATTGAAAATTTTTTCTATGCATAAAAAAAAAAACAACTTAAGCATGATATAATAATAGTGCACATACAATATAAAGTACTGTACTACTGTATCTTAAATGAAAGGAACTGTTAAAAAATATATAGTGTATTTCAAATTTTACACCACAGAAAAACTGTAATCAAGAGAAAATAACAGAGAAGTTATTATGCAGAAACTCACCCCGAGAGCTAGGATTTGCATGGCTAAGATCTTTACTACCATGGAACAGAAGTGTGGAGGAGGTGAGTGTGACCAGCCAGGAGCCACACTCTGACCCTCCAAGTCTCCAACTCTCTCACCCAGAATCAGCGACTGGTAGAAAAAATGTAAGTAATCAACAGTGAATTTGCAAACCATAACAGATAAAATAATTCACAAAGTTTTAATCTGTCAATATTACACTCCTGAAACACAACTACTGCATGAAATAACCTTTACACAATTAATTAAGTGACCATTTGCATAATTCATCAAGTAATCATTTACATGAATCATCAAGTAACCATCAAGACACTACAAGCAACCATTTACATACTTCACCAACATACTTTTATACAATTTGCCAAGTAACCATTAATTAACATATTGTATGAAGAAATAACAGAGTTCATCAAGCATTATTATTGATGTTATTATTATTATTATTATTATTATTATTATTATTATTATTATTATTATTATTATTATTATCAGAATTATTATCAGAAAGTTTTAAGTCAGTGTATTGGAATAATAAATTCTGAGCTGCAAGGTTGAGTCAAGCAGTAGAGGGAAAGTGATAGAAACAATCATTCAAACAGAAGTCAGATCAAGATACAATCACTTGGAAAGTTTGAGAATTTGACAGTGTACTGGTAGAGGGAAGCATCTTTAGAAACATAGAAAAGGATTCAATTCATGTTAGGGATCTCATGAATACTGAAGCTTAAGAAGGGATTGTGCAATATTACACTGTGGTTCATTCGTTCAACATCTTTCCATCCATGTATAATCTGCTAAGAAAAGTGTTCTTATTTAGTTTTTCTTCCTTTGCAGTAACAAATCTATTAATGAGGTAAAAGGACACAAGTGCAACTAATGTGACATTGTACTGTATCACTTTCCAGGAGCTTTATCAAGCCGTTACAAACAATACATGAACACAGAGGGTACATATAGGCTTAGAGTGAAGTGTAATAGTTGTAATACTAGAGGAAGTAGTAGTAGTAGTAATAATAATAATAGTAATTCACATGGAAGAAAAAGTCGATTTGTACACGATTAAAAAAAGTTATAAATGCTTATTGCTTGAGTAGCATAAAAATAGGTTGGGCAAATATTTCTGTTGTGGTTGGATTTGATAAGGCCTGTTTCAGTGTTCCTCCTCTATTATGTTCTCGTGTAGAATCAACAGCAGCAACTATGTGATGGCAGGATTTATTGTTTTGAGAAGCATTCTCGTGGTACTTCAGAGATGGTGAAGCTGCCTTTATTTTGCTTAAAAATGTTAGAAACAGCGATTAATGATGATACAAGGTATTTATGTCTGCGGAAATTAGGTTCTTTGATCACTAGGCGGGCGTCGCTGAATTTCATGAGGTGATTGATGGAATTCCCGGTGTTGTACGCAGGTGTTGTGTAAGTTATTGTTCCTACATGCATTAATGTGTTCATTAGGGTGTATTTCGAGGTTCCTTGCTATTTCACCTACATATATTCACTCTTTGCCTATACACATATACCCTCTGTGTTAATGTATTGTATGTACAATATAGTTCCTGGAGAGCGAAACGTTTTCACAATACAATTTCACATTAGTTACACTTGTGTCCTTTTACCTAACATAGACAAGGTGGTTTGTCCAGTCTTACATTCGACCCATCAAAGAATCACAGAGCTTCTGTGGTATTTGAGAAGTCGGAGATAATCAGGTTAGATCTGAGTAAGGGGACGGGTAGCTCTAATTCCTGAAGATGACTTTTGTGGTAAAAAAAAAATACATGTGTAGCAAAAGCAGACCTTTAATTGTTACGATGATTCAATTTTTTGTAGGTGAAACTTCACGTTATTGCCCATAACTATTCCATAAATCTGTCCATTTCTAAAATTGATAATTGTTTGTGTCAGCGTCTAGATTATTTGAACAATGAGAATTGTCGATCCCGGAGCCAGACTCGTGGGGATAATATTATATTAATGTGTAGTAAAAAATTCGCGAAGCCAGCTCGCGTGGTTCTTGGATCTGAGCTCTCAGATAACCTAATATTTAAATGATTGTTCTGTGAACTAAGTACAAGGATAATGAGTGATACGACCTAAATCATAGTACACTGATCGTTCAGCTCAAATTTTCTGAATAAAAGTACGTTGAATTACAGTATTTTACAGGTATTCAGACTAACCTGGCAGACTTGTACGACCATCTTGAGGTGCGGCAGATGAGCAATGTAAGGGTACTTGGAGAGGGTTGTATAAACACCCTTCAATAGGTTGGCTGCAGCTCCCCAGTCCGTGTTTCTCTGGAGAAATAAGAGTTGTTGAATTCGGTTGTTCAGTCACGCACATTACGTGTAGTAATTTTATTAACAATACTCAGGAAAGTAGTTACGTAAATAACTTATAATGAAGATAAATAATTTATTTCCTTTTGTACACAATGCTCTTGAATAAAATACGAATAATAAATTAACTGGGATGTAAAAAATCTTCTCTTATTCTTAAGATCTTAACAAAATCGCATCCAACATACCCTTATGGAGTTCTTTTTGGCAATCTTATTGAACATTTTATCTAATCTTCTAAGAATGTTAACTAGGGCTGGTCTGAGGTCTTCGTGAGACCAGTCTGGATAGGGAAGGATTTCATTCATGTAGCGCTGGAGTCCTCGACAACCCATCGTTGCTGGGTCGTATGGGGCCACCTTCAGCAGACTGTGAGCAACCTCTGCTAAACGCTAAGAAATTAAAGTAATATTAAAGTCTGAATGAAGTCTTTGCTCTCTATAATAAATAAAAGATAAATCAGCTACCATAATGTTGCCAACTGTGACACATATACTGTGAACTTTTATACTTAAACAATCACTTTTAACAATATTCCACCATTACCATTACTGGACGTGCACTATTCTGAGGTATTTGATATGTATGTGTGAATACCTCAGAGAAGACATGGGCTGCCTCGCCACTTATATATCATCAACAAAATCAACATGTGCAAATTTCTCGCTGCACATTATTTATGTCTGGTCAGATTAGTTTAAATTTGGTTAAGTTAGACTCTTCTGATCTGAAGAAACATTTTCCAGTTGTTTAACAGAAATTAATTTCATTAATGAAAGTGGCATATCAAAACTTACACCACCTTAAATAGAGACAATGTTTCCTTTGAGGAAAATATATCGGTATTAAAGTCTAAAGCCGATCAGAATTGGGGATTCTTCGGCTATTGTACAGAATCCAACAAAAAATTTTTCCCTTAACAAACTAAACCCAAGAAATGTTTCAACCATATCAATAGAAGAATTAACCATTGAAGACTGATGTGTTCACAAATATTGCATTTTAATTAAGGGAAAATGTTAAAACAGTAGTGGTCATACAGGGCTTGTGAAGGTATTCAGACACAAGATAAATCCATTTCCTTGGATAAAAAAATATCAATGTAAAATAAAACTGAAATTATTTCGAGATTAAAAGTGGCAAAATAGTGCCTAAACACTCTAATAATAACATCAACCTTATACTTAGTTGGACAAACGATGTTGATATTTTGAAACCGATCAAATGAGGCTTCCAATTATCGCATAGAAAAAATATTCAGGGAATGGCTAATGTATCAGTGTCCACAGGTCAGCCACACATACAAAGTACAATGAATCGTAGCCTTGATACAGTTCACCAGCGTTGAAACTTTGAGGATGCTCGAGTAAGATGTTCTTAAGTCATAAACGAAAATTATTGGGAAATATTGCTGAGAAAGTTCCGAAAATATAAAATTTAATTCAAAAAAATTTAAAAGCAGATTTTTTTTTCAGTTTCCTTTTCCCATTATCTTTCTATTTAAAATTCACTCGAAATTCTATAGAATATAAATGTTTATGAGAAAAATGTAATTTGATAAAATTTCTATAAAAGTTGCATAACTGACAAAAAAAAAAAGAAATACGAATATACTTCCACTTACGAAATAAAAGCGTTTGGGATCTGAAGCCGATCAGAAGCAGCATCCTCTAATTATTAAACAAAAAAATAAGCTATTCAACAGCATCAATAAATTAATATTTACACTGCTTAAAGTAAAAGCAATACTTTCTTTTAATGAAGCTCACCAAGGTGAAAGTTTGAATCCGATCAGAAAAGGCATTCTCCAGCAATTAATCTAATTCTAATGATTCCAAGCTTTTTAACAATTTCAGTAACGTTTCAAATTTGCACCTAGGTATCATCCTTCTTATATCATCAGTAATATTGTCAAGCCGATGAGAAAAAACTTCCTTTAGTTATTAAATGTAACTGGACAATTCTGTACAGTTTACAGTTATCGTTCCTGTTGGTGTTGCAGTGTGATAGTTTGCTGGCTATAATTATCAAGCTTTTGTTTACCTCGCCTGCCAGCATCATCTGTAGGTTTGTGATACATAAGTTCAATTTGATTTCTGTCTATTTCAGCCTAAATTCTTTATACTTTTCTTTACCTATGAAGCCATGAGAGATTCTACCCTCTTCGTCTCTGAGCTCCTCCTGTCCATATATGTACTTTATTGTTGTATTTTCTGCTTCCAGCCGTTTTTATTGTTTTATTAGGTTAAACTTCGTGTATTGTAGATTGTGTTTATTTTCATTGGTGGTATTGATTTATGCTAGATTACAATATTGTTATCTTAACAAAATTTTGCTGCTAATTCACCATTCATTTGATTTAGCTTCATGCAACGTACGTGTTAATCATGCAACAGATTCTTATGATCATTTTTGTCTCCCCTCATATGACTGTCTGATCACCGAAATGAGCGGGTAATGAAGCCTTCACTTGTGCAGTGCTTATCTTTACTACAGCCAAGTCCATCTGTGAGGAACAATCCTCACAGCTTATTGGAACATCCATCGTAAGTGCCAGAATTATGCTTGTACAAGTATAATATACCGGCCCACTTATTCTTGATTCTCCCCTCCTCCCCCTCTTCTTAAACTCGAAGCTGCCACACCGTCGCTGTTTGCTCATCCAGGTACCTAGTTACCATCCTCACCTGCTGCCTTGTTGCTATAATCATCCTCTCCCCCCCCACACCCATTCTACTTGATCGTTCATGTGTCCTTTGCTTTACTACTCAACTGGTTTAAGTAGTATTTATACGTGACTTCTTTGGAATTCATGTCATTCTAGAATTATATTATTTATTTTTTTTGTGTTAATTATTCATGCTGCCTTTTAATATTTTTTCATCTTTGGGGTGTTACCAAGCACCATGGCTTGTTGTAGTGTTTTAGAATCTCAGGTTGAAGTGTTGAAGAAGGAGGTTATACTACTTCAGGAGGAAAATAGGAGGCTGAAGCTTCGCCTAGATGTGTTTGGGAGTGAGTGTGGGATAGCTGGTTTTGGAAACGAGGAAATGCTTACCACCAGTGAGAGTGGCAGTCGCTTTAAGTGGCAAGTGGTTCACAGTTCAGGAAGAAGGAAGATAAGGAGGGTTAATAAAGAAGATGTGAAGGTAGGAAATCGATTCTCTGTTCTCCAAGACGAGTGTACTTCAGTGGTTAGTGAGATTAAAGGTACCTCTGACTCCCCTTCTAATCAAGGTAAGAATATTCTGATTGTGGGAGACTCTCAGATAAGATATATAGACCGTGCTTTTTGTAACAGAGATAGAAAAGTCAGGCAGAGAGTGTGCCTCCCAGGAGCTGGTGTTGGTGACATAGTCAGCAGGTTGGATAATATTATGTTAGGTTATGGGAACATGCCCATTACATGTCTTAGTGCTGGTGGAAATGACATTGGGAAGGGCAGGAGACAGGAGCTACTGGATAAGTACAGGTCAGCCATAGAAGTAGTTACGTCTAAGGGAGGGATCCCTATCATATGTAGCATCTTGCCTAGAAGGGGAGTGGGCAATGAATGGATGTCTAGGGCAATTGGTATAAATTGCTGGCTAGACAGGTACTGCAAGGAACTTGCATTCACATTCATTGATAACTGGGACATACTGTATGGCAAACATGATATGTATGCAAAGGATGGGGTTCATCTCTCTGGGGTTGGAGTGGTTGTATTAGCTAATTCGATTGAGGGGTAATTGATGACTTGTCTACGACTTTAAACTGATAGATTATAGAGGTATGGGTGTTTGTGGGAAACAATCAGGCTGCAGTATTATTGTTGGAAACAGCAGATATTACCAGGATACCTCAGGGATATGTTTATGAGAAAATATTCAAAATAAAGTTCCTAATAGAGGCAAAGCAACTGATCAACAAACAAAGAGAGATAGTAGGAAGCAACGAGTGACTAGCTCCCTTAAGGTTTACTACACAAATAATAGGAGTCTAAGAAATAAGATAGATGAGTTAAGATTACTCGCTATAACAGAGATCTTGTTCAACTTGAAAGATAGAGAAATGCCCTCTGAATGCAACATACAGGGTTATAAACTATTCCACGCTGTCAGGGTCAACAGGAAGGGTGGTGGAGTAGCGATGTATGTCAGAGAAAATTTAAATTGTTGCCTTAGACATGATATAAAAATAGAAACATCGGACACAGAATCTGTTTGGCTACAGTTTCTCGAGGTGTATGAAAAAATTGTTTTGGGTGTGATATATTTGCCCCCAAACCCTTGATAGGGAGTGCAGTAAGCTGCTGTTATGGGACGAAATTCATAAGGCATCTAGATATGAAAATGTTGTGTTACTGGGAGATTTTAACTTTAGACAAATTGACTGGAACAATATGACAGGAAATATTGAGTCTAGTGACTTTCTTGATACAGTTCAGGATTGCTTTATAAAACAGTTTGTGAGAGAACCAACTAGAGGAAACAATCTGCTTGACTTGGTTCTTGCCAACAAAGATTCACTAATTAATAATCTTGAGATTAATGATGAGCTTGGGGAAAGTGATCACAAATCGCTTAGTTTCAATATATTATGGAATTACCCAGTAAACTGCAATCAAGTCTCTGTCCCAGACTTTCGATTGGCTGATTTCATGGGACTGAAAAATTACCTGGGTGAGCTAAATTGGGTTGATCTGATTATGGGTCAGGTAGCTGGTGTTGGTTGCCAATATGGCGTTTTCCAGAGCATAGTTCTGGCTGCTCAGTCAACTTTTGTTCCGAGTAGGAAAATTAGATCTAACAAAAAATGATCCCAAATGGATAAACAATAGATTAAAACATCTCATTGGTCAAAAGAGAGGCATATATAGGCGTATCAGAAGAGGGGACGGGCAGTTAAGAAATCAGTATATTCAATTAAAGAGAGAAATAAAAAAAAAGAATAAGAAAAGCAAAAAGGGATTATGAGGCTAAGGGATTCGAAGACTAACCCAAAAGGGTTCTTTCAGGTATACAGAAGTAAGATCAGAGACAAAATAGGCTCACTTAAGAGTAGCTCAGGTCAGATCACTGACAGTGATAGAGATATGTGTGAAATTTTCAATTCTTACTTACTCTCAGTTTTTACTCAGGAAGATACTAGATAAATTCCAGAAATAATAAATTATGTAGAACTGGACGATAATAAACTATTCACGATTGCAGTAACTAGTGACATGGTTCTCAGACAAATAGAAAAATTAAAACCTAACAAATCCCCAGGCCCTGATGAATTGTTTTCAAGGGTTTTAGAGGAATGTAAAGAGGAACTTTTCAAACCTTTGGCTGGTGGTTAACGCTCTCGCTTCACACGGTGAGGGCCTGGGTTCGATTCCCAGCCAGAGTAGAAACATTGGACGTGT